CTCCCTGTCTGCGAAGCTGCTCTCTCCTCCCTGAGAATGTCTCTGCTTCCTTGGCATCCCTGGGGTTTGAGCTTTTCCATTCAGATCCTTTCCATATATACAGAATCTTTTTGCCAAATAATGGTCCTAATCAGATCTTAATGCCATTCAGATATAAGGATTTCCTATACACCAACTAAAGAATAATATTCAAGTTACTGGAAACTATTTCATTTCTAATCTCAACTTGTCTATTCACATAACCCATCTTAATTTAGCATTCTTGTTCATAAACAGGTATGGTGATTATTTATGATTATTATTATTTATGATTTTTAAAGCTTGCCTGAGGATTCACAAAGCAAAGTCAGCCACTAGCCATAGAAGCCAGGCACACATCTTTAATCCCAGGACTCAGGATTAAGAGGTAGATGGATCTCTGTTAGTTCAAGACCACACAGAGTTACAAGAAATATATTCAGTCCTAAAGAGAAACAGCTCACACAAAGATGATCTCAGCACTCAGGATCATACGCCTTTAATCCTAGGACTCATGAGAGGTATTTAAGACAGGAACAGTGTCTCAGAGAGGGATTCATCCTCCAGCCACATTGAAGACAGGGCGGCATTCAGTCTCAGGGTTCTCTAGCCACGTTGAGGAGAGATAGCACTCTGGGATTACTGTCTGAGTTTTGGTAGAGCCAGGATTGCCTTTCAGCCTCAACTAGAGGTAAGAGCTAGTGGCTGACTGCTTTGCTTTTCTGGTCTTCAACTTGAACCCAGTCTCTGGGTCCTTTTAATTATTCATGTTACAGACAGGTAACACACATCTTTTCTACCCCACTACACAATGTTCTATCCTTAAGAAACAACCTCCCCAAAAGCTACCTCCTCAAAGTTGCCTTTGATTTTCAAAGAATACATGGCTCTTAACCATTATAGGGTTATTTAAAGTATTTCCTGTAAGATGAAATTTACAACTTATAATTGTGTGACTCGATGAGCAGGAAATATCTTCAAACCCCCGACTGAAAATCTTAAAATAAACTTTTTGCAGTATATCTTCTCAATTCAAAACAAACAAAAAAACCAAAAAAAAAAAAAAAACCCCAACTACCTCAATTCTGTTAGTGCTCTTTCAAAGTAGTCCAGAGCTGGGTAAATAGTTCAGTGGTAGAGCACACCCCTAAGATGTGCAATGATCCTCACAATGCAAAAAGTAAAATAGTCAGCTAACATAAAAGCCACCAGGAACTTAACAAGTGACTCTGTCAACCTTAGAGAGCTGTGGAGAGTGAGGAAGGGATGCTCACCTATCGCTGGTGTTGCTTTAGGATACATCATTTCAAACCAGAAGTAGCTTCCCCTTTGTAATCACTTGGTCAGCTCTGACAGAGGGCCACATTTCTTTGAACTTTTCTGTGATACTTGGAATTTTGGAGAATCCCAGGCACACTTTAATAATCGCACCTTTATTATCATGAGTCTGAGGTGATATATCTGGCATGAATGTTCATGAGACTTTGTCTTTAATATTTCATGAACAGTGCTCTGTTTCTCTCTTTAGAGGGAGAAGAAGATAGTTGTAAGTGGCAACATCATTGTTTCTGCATAAAAAAATAATACTGTATCAATGAAAGAAGCAATGCCCCATCTGCTTTCCTTTCCTTTCCTTAACTGACTTTCTTACAAATAAGAGGTGGGGTGCAGACCCTGAGCTGCTTCATCCAGGGCATTTTTAGATTAATCACAATGCATGAAAATAAACTTCAGCAAATGAGATTATTTCCAAGACTCAAAAGTCTATTTTGCTCAACACCTGCTTATCTTATATTCCGAAAAATTTCATTCCAAAACAAATGCGCCTGCATGTTCACTAAGGTACATGGTCTTTATTCTTAATATTAAACTAAAAATCAGTTGCATCAAAAGGAGAATGGATTAACATATGTGGACTCCATATAATTCTAATCAAGGAATATCTTGGAGAGGGTCAGAGCAGGTTCCCTAAGAGGTGGCCAGGGATGATGGGAATGGTGTGGAGAAGTGATTCTCAGAATGTGTGACAGAGACCCCCTTGGATCATCCATTGGATCATCCTGTGTTCCCAAGAGCCTGCATGAGGACCTGGGAGGAGTATTTCTAGTTTCCAGTTCATCATTCCAATGAAAATGACAGCACAGTAGATTAGAAGGAAAAATCGCCAGAACGCAGATGATTTGTATAAAACTAGACATTAAAAGATGTGAGATAATGTAAACAGTACCACTCTACCAATGTTTTTAATAATCACTTTTCATTAAAAAGTCGCATATTAGTTACATGTTAATATGTGGTAGGCTGATTGTTACTTTTATTGGACTAGGAAAATATTTCAAAAGTGCTGTTTTAATTACCAAAAGTTTCTATTTACAGACAACAGTCACATCAACAAAAACTTGGATTTCTAGAAGCTATAAGCATGAAGGATTCCCAAGACTAAAGATTTTCAGAGTTGTTGGACTATGATTTGACTTGAGTGAAGATTACATGGGCATAACACTGATCCAGGATACACTTAAGATTCATGTGCCTCATTACGTGTACCTAGTCCAAAACTGTTTAAGATATACAAAGGAAAATAGACATATGCTTATGATACTACATAAACTGGAGGGAATTAACTTATTTATTATACAGAACGCTTTTTCTGAAGAGCATTAGGAATTATGCCAAAATAACAAAACTTCCTTGAAGCCTGATTCTAAGTGGGCACCAGCTAAGAGGCATAGTTATCTAAGAGTTTGGAGCACAAAAATTAAATCTTCCTTCCTTTGTGGAGAGGTTAGTCCACACCCCATTTTAGAAAGGCCAGGTATTCCTTGGTTAAAGAGGGGAGGGAGAAAGGGGGAGGGCTTAATGCAGAGTATTTTTATTCTTCCTGAGATGGTCAGTTTATTGTCAACTTGAGTCTATGGGTCATTGTTTTGATAACTAATTGCCTTGGGTATGTAGGTGATCCTAGGCTGTTCAAGAAAATTAGCTAAGCAAGCCGGCCAGCAGTGTTCCTCCATAGTTTCTTCTTCAAATTCCACCTTGACTTCCCTCAGTGCTGGAAGGTGACCTGAAGTTAATCTTTTCTCCTCTGAAAGTTACTTTGGGTTATGAAATTTGTTACAAAAACAGAAACTGCAACACTTTCATTCCAGTGTTTCCCATGCCAAGTCTCCAAGTTAGCAATGCAAAATGATTTGAACCAATCCGAGGAAAACTGAGAAAGATTGACAATGAACAAAAAAAATGACATTCAGGAAAGAACAGACATAACTACTTGATAAAGGTGAAGCTGTCAACTAAAGAGAAATTGAAGAGTAAACAGATTGGACATAAGCAGTCCTAAGGGAACTGTGCAGTCAGAGAAACAGTAGAGAGGAAATAAGAAACCCCCATCAGTTGGGACAGATGGAATTTTCAGAATCACTGTGACAAAGAATACTACTATTTTGAAATTGTCATTCCCCAGTGTCTATTCGGGTGTGAGAGAGGGAGAAGGGGAAGAGAGAGATTATATTTCCCTGGTGGCTACTGTTATTAAGCATCTTAGTGTGCATATCCAATACCTATATAGCTTTTTGACTTTTATTTTATTTTGTCCTTTTTTTTAAAATTCAGAAATATCTGTTCTGAGCCTTTGCCTTTTTAAAAGTGATTGACAGTCAGCTGGGCAGTGGTGGTGCACACCTTTAATCCCAGCACTTGGGAGACAGAGGCAGAAGCATGCATATCTCTGTGAGTTCAAGACCAGTCTGGTCTACTGAGAGAGTTCTAGGACTGGCTTCATAGCTACTGAGAAACCCTGTCTTGGAAAAACAAAACAAAACAAAACAACAACAACAAAAAAACAAAAGTTGTGTCATTTTATAGATGAGATGTAGGTGTTCTTCATACATTTTAGATGTGTGATTAAAACAATGATTTCTTTCATTCTATGGCTTGTCTACTTTATATTCATTTTCTTTTATTTTTATTTTTTTTTTATTTTTTTGGTTTTTCGAGACAGGGTTTCTCTGTATTGTTTTGGAGGCTGTCCTGGAACTAGCTGGGTAGACCAGGCTGGCCTCGAACTCACAGAGATCCGCACTTTGTGTCTTTTAAAGGACAAAAGTTTTGCCAAGCATGGTATCTCATGCCTTTAATCCCAGAATTTGGGAGGCAGAGTCAAGTAGATCTCTTACAATCTGAGGTCAGCCTGGTCTACATAGTGAGTTCCAAGTCAGTCAAGGCTACATAGACCTAGTTGCAAACATAAAAGAAGAAAAATGGGGTTTTTATTAATGACATTTAGTTTCTTTCTTTTGCTGATTTTTATGCCTCTGGAGTTGGCCATATCTAAGCAATCATTGTCTAATGCAACATTACTAAATTGCTGTTTTCTTCTAAGAGCTTATTATATTTGTCTGTCTGTTTGTTTATTTACATGGGGGTATGGGTGAGCAGGCATGTGCCTTGAAGCACACATGTGTAGGTCAGAGGAAATCTTGCAGTCTGTTTTCTCCTTCCACCATGTAGGTCTCAGAGACTGAGCTTAGGTTGACAGGCTTAGAGGCAAGTGCTTTTCCTCACTTGGCCATCTTGTCAGTCCCATTGATCCATTCTTAATTTTTATTGTATGTGATACAAAGATCCAGTTCCACTGATTAGCATATGTATAGATAGCTGTCCCACCATCATTTTAAAAAAGACTATGTTTCTCCATTAAATAGTTGTAGCATTATTGTAGCACTATATGTCAGTGGAGTGTAAATGTGGAGCTGGTGATTACTGTAAGGTTCCCATCATGTGTCCTAGGCTCATGTAGGGATGACCTTCAACCAGCCAAGTCCCATGAGTTTCTTCTGCATGATGTTATGTGGTAATTCCCTCCAATATAAAATATTTTTTGCTTGGTGTGTGTGTATAACTTTATATATCTAATCTTTATAATGCATGCTATAATTTCACAATCTGTTACAAGTGAGTCTGAAATCACAAAATTTGAGAAGAAAAATATGAAATGCTTCATGAATTTGCGTGTCATCTTTGCACAAGGGCCATGCTAATCTTCTTGTAGCATTCCAATCTCAATATATTTGCTGCCAAGGAAAACGCAAAGCACAGGAAGTTAAAATTGATGTGGAATATTCTGTCTTAATTATTTTAAATAATATATTAATTATATTTAATTTTTCTATTGTTGTGATAAAACACCATGACCAAGGCAACTTATAAAAACAATGCATTTAAATGGGCTTACAGACCAGAAGGTTAGAGTCCATGATAGTGGAGACAATACATGGTGAGAGGTAGCTGGAACAGCAGTTGAAAGCTTATACCTTGCTCCATAAGAAGGAAGCAGAAAAGAACATTGGGAATTTTGTCAATATTTTGAAACATAAAAGTGTGTTCCCAATGGTGCATTTTCTCCAATTTAGCCATTCCTAATCCTTCCCAAACAGTTCTACCAACTGGGAATACCAAGTATTCAAACATATGAGCCCACAGGAGTGGTCGTCTTTCCCATTCAAGCTGTCACACATTCTTTCCTGCAAGAATGGAATTATATTCTTGCATTGGTATTTTTTGGCACCTTGACATTATCCTGGATCATATAGGAAGAAGGAAATTCAGTTGAGAAAAAACTCCATCTGATTAGTCTGTAGTCAAATCTGTGGCTATATTTTCTTAATGGTTGAAATAGAAGGGCCTGGCTCACTGTGGACAGTGCCATACCTGGGTGTGTTGTTTTGGGGTACAATAAAAAATCAGATTGAACAGCAAGCATGTTCTCCCATGGTTCATGCTTCAGCTCCTTCTTCCAGGTTTCTGCCTGAATTCCTGCCCTGACTTTCCCTCATGATGAACTGCAACCTTAAGGTGAAAGATTCCTCTCCAAGTTGCTCTTGGTCACAGCCAGAGAAACCTAACTGTAGCACTCCTTAAGACAAAGGACAACTTATATTATAGGAGGACATGAACCATTCCATTTCACAGAAAGGCTTTTTAACAATTCAGAAAGTGATAAAACTGATCAAATTCACTAGCCCTTTCCAGCTCTAATAATACATAAGTATTAATGACTGCTGAAAGACAAGTTCAGACCAGCTGAGCTGCCTGCAAGAAACAGAGGCCAGTGAAGATGCAGAGATGAGCTCAGTTGCTTAGAAGAGTCTCAGATCAACTGAGCTACCCGGAAAAGATGCTCAACAATTTGTTGAGCTGCCTCCAGGCTATACAGTGCACTCTAAGTTTCCAGTTTTCATTGGCTGTCACCCATCCTGACTGGCTTTGGTGACATAGTTGTCTGAGTTATTTCTGCTCCTATAAGTAACTTCTCACCCACATTCCTGTGAAGAACTCCAATAAAATTCATTGATTTAGCCAGGCGGTGGTGGCACACGCCTTTAATCCCAGCACTCGGGAGGCAGAGACAGGCGGATCTCTGTGAGTTCGAGGCTGGGCTGGACAGACAGCCTCCAAAACAATACAGAGAAACCCTGTCTCGTAAAACCAAAATAAAATAAAATTAAATAAAAAAATTCATTGACTTATCAAGTTGGTGGTTTCCTTACTTTGATTTGTCTAAGGTGAGTAGGCATTGGAATACTGTCACAAAATTCATGGTTTTCTAAACCTCTCATACCCAGCCATTGCTTTATTCTTGAAACTCTCCTAGCTTTATAAATTCACATTATAAACAAACACAAACTTTTCATGTTGCAATCCAGCAGATACTCATTTTCCAAGAACACTTCCTGTCATGAGAAAAGGTAGACTTCAAACCCACAATCCAGGAAACCCCTGTCCCTAAGAAACATACCTATTTCAACCCTTCACAGAATGTGACACAAAATTTATCAACACAACATATCTACTAGAAATTAATTATACCAATAACTTTTATATAGCTACTTTCATCACTGATCTGGATAAGTTAATACATTTGTTTTCCATTGCTGTATAATGAAGGACCACAGACTTACTGTAAAAGTATATACTAGCCTGCAATTCTATAGTTCAGAAGTATACACATCATCATAGCATGGATCATTCTCTACTCAGACTCTTGCAAGGATAAAATGAATTCTCTGGACTATGAAGTCCTAAGGCTCATGATCCCAAAACTCAAGAATTGGGAAGAATTCAGTTTTTACACTTACAAAACTCGAGCTCACACTTCCTTGCTGATTTTCCAGGCTCTATAAGCCCTCTTAACCTGAATTCTGTTTTTAATCACTTCCTTTAGGAAGAGTCCAGTCCATTTTACGTTCATGTTTAATTAGGTTAGAATCACTCAAGATAATCTCCATTTTGATTAATTCAAAGTTAAACTATCTTGGGGCTATAATTATATCTAAAATTCTTCAATTTGTCAGACAATAAAATTTATGTTAAAAACATAAATTCCTTATTCACTCTCCTGTATGCATTTACCAGCTTATGTAGATTATGTTTACTGGATTATACATAAGGAACCTTCTTAATTTTTATTATATACACACATTCCTAGCTCAGATACTATGTGCTACAGTTAAATTTAACATGTATGTGTATAGGATAGTCATTTAATTACCATGTTATAGACAAATCAAGAATATTGTAATCATCCTACAGAGGTGCACTCTAAGTTCACACAGTAGCATAGAAGAGATGAAAGGATACATCACATTCATTCTCTACTTTCTAGTCCCCAAATATATCTTCTAGAGTAACACAATATCATGCCAGAGATTATCCTGCCTTATATATAAAACATACTTATTTTTGCTTCTTTGTAGTCTATTTGTCATTTATATACTATATAGAAAGGCCACTGATTTTTCTGTAATAATTTTGTATCCTGCTATTGTGCTGAAAGTGTCCATCAGCTATATGGGTTTCCTGGTTGGAAATTTTAGGGCCATTTATGCATACAATCATTCTACAAGTAAAGACACATTGATGTCTTCCTCTCCTATAATACCTCCTTCAGTTGTCTTATTTCTCTAGCTAGGACTTCTAGTACTATGCTAAATAGGAATGAAGAGAGTAGACAACATTTTCTTGCTCTTGATTTTGATGGAAATGCTTTGAGCTTGTCCCCATTAGGTAGATGTTGGTTGTGGGTTTATTGTAAATTGAGTCTATTATGTATCCCTTGTATCCCTAATGTTGGATTTTGACAAATGTCTTTTCTACACCTAATGAGATGATCATGTGATTTTTGTCTTTCAGTCTGTTTGTATGTTGGATTATATTGATCAATTTATATATGGTAAACCATCCCTGCATCTCTGGAATGAAGTCTACTTAAGATAATGGTGGATGATCTTTTTTATGTTTTCTTGGATTTGACTTGCACCTATGTTAAGGAAAACTGGTTTGCAATTCTTTGTTGAGTCTTTATGTGATTTAGATATCAGGGGTAACTGGACGCATAAAAGGAATTGGGCAATGTTCCTTCTGTTTCTATTGTGTGGACTAATTTAGGAGTATTGGCATTAATCCTTCTTTGAAAGTCTGGCAGAATTTTGCACTAAAACCATCTGGTTGGCCGGGTGGTGGTGGCGCACAACTTTAATCCCAGCACTCGGGAGGCAGAGGCAGGCGGATCTCTGTGAGTTCGAGGCCAGGCTGGACCGACAGCCTCCAAAACAATACAGAGAAACCCTGTCTCGTAAAAACCAAAAAAAAAAAAAAATCTGGTCCTGGGTTTTCTTTTCTTTTTTTTTTTTTTTTTTTGCTTCTATTTCACTAGGAATTATAGGTCTGTTTAAATTGTTTATCTGTTCTTGATTTAGCTTTGGTAGGTGGTGTATATCAAGAAATCAACCCATTTCTCTTAGATTTTCCAATGTTATGTAGCACAGGTATTTTAAAGTATATTCTTTTGATTCTCTGGATTTTCTCAGTGTCTGTTCTTATGTCTTCCCTTTCATCTCTAATTTTTCTAATTTAGATCTCCTCTTTCTGGATTTTATTTAATTTAGCAAAGAATTTGTTGATCTTACTGATTTTCTCAAAAAATTATCTTTTTATTTCATTGATTCTTAGTATTTTTCCTTCTTTGTTTCTCTCTTATTGCTTTAATCCCCAAATTTTATTGTTTTGTTTATTCCTTTTGGGTTTTATTTGTTCTTTTTGTTCTAGAGCTTTCATGTGTACAACTTTGTCACTACTATGAGATATCTCCTACTTTTTAATGTAGGTACTTAGTGCTATGAACTTGTTTCTTGGAACTTCTTCATTATGTCCCTTAAATTTGAATATGCTAGGTTTTCAATTTTCATTTGATTCTAAAAGCTTTTCTTTCTGAATTTCTTAGGTCCATTTACTTGGAATATCTTTTTCCATCCTTTTATCCTGAGGTGATATTTATCTTTGATGTTAAGGTGTGTTTCTTGAATGCAGTAGAAAATTTGATCCTATTTTCAAATCCAGTTTGCTAGTCTGTGTCTTTTTATTGGGGGAATTGATACCATTGATGTTGAAAGATATCAATTAACAATATTTTTGGATTGCCATCATTTTACTGTTGTCATGTGGGTCTTTCCCCCTATTCTTTGATTTGATGGTGTGAGGGCATTTATTCCTTGTGTTTTCTTCAGTGAGTAATCTCTTCAGGTTGGAGTTTTCCTTCTAGTATTTTCAATAGAGCTGGATTTGTAGATACATATTGGTTAATTTGGATTTATTATGGACTATCTTCCTCCACCTCCTTTGATAGCAAGTTTTGCTGGATTAATAGCCTGGGCTGGCATCTATGATCTCTTAGAGTTTCTAGAACATCTGTCTAGGCCCTCTTGCTTTTAGTCTCCATTGAAAAATTGGGTGTTGTTCTAATAAGTCTACCTTTATATATCATGTAGTCTTTTCTCCTTGTAACATTTAATATTCTCTCTTTGTTGTCTATGTTTAGTATTTTGATCATTATGTGTTATGGGGACTTTCCTTTCTGGTCCAGTCTATTTGGTGTTTTGTGTGCTTCTTATACTTTGATAGGCACCTCCTGTGGTTTGGTGTAATTTTCTTCTGTGATTTTGTTGAAAATATTTTCTGTGCCTTTGACCTGGAATTCTTCTGCTTCCTATATTCCTATTATTTGTTGACTTGTTTTTATTCATAGTGTCCTGGA